GGGTGGATCCAGGTTCCAAGTGGTTCATCAAACGGATTGGATCCGGATGCCGGGAACGAGTGGAATGGAGCGCGTGGCGGAAACAGCGATGGCGGGGTGCTGTTTACAATCTTCTTTCTTGTCATATGTCACGTGCTCCGCCGTTGTCTCTCCATCGTCCTTCGTCTGAAGCGTCCTCGTTCCCCCTGGGACCGCTGGCGCATTGGCGTCTTGGCCGCATAAACACCTGCCGTTGAGGTTTTTAGCATAGGGCTCAAAACAAAACCGCCCCCGCCACCCCCATCTCAAATCCAACATCAATCCAAATCCTACAGCGAACAGGAACTTCGAGAGCTCAAGGCACAACAGGGAAGCGACGCTCCATCCGATTCATTGATTGGTGGATTAGGTGGTGGCAACGGCCTCGGCGGCGGCGGCGGTATGGGAGCTGGCCCCGGTGCCGTCGCGGCGGGGGGTCTCGGCGGCATAGCAGCGGCCGCCGCCGCTGCCGCCGCCGGCTTTGGCGCTGCAGGCGCGGGCTTCCGCGGCCCCATGATGGGCGCGGGCCCCGGGGCCGGCGGGTCCTTCGACCACGGCGATCCCTTTACCACGAACCTTTACGTGGGCAATTTGGCGCCGGAGGTGGATGAGGAGGTGCTTAAGATTGAGTTTGGTCGCTTTGGCGCTATTGCCAGTGTGAAGGTCATGTGGCCACGAGACGAGGAGCAGCGGCGCAAGGGCCGCAACTGCGGCTTTGTGGCCTTCATGGTGTGTGTGTGGAAGGGAAGGGAAGGGAAGGGAAGGGGAAAGGGCGGGAGAAAGAGCGCGCGAGTGTAACAAGGGCGTTGCGATTTGCATCTCACGATAATCAGTCAATGGTAGGTAACATTCATGCTACTTTGGTGGAGGCGGAGGATGGCGGCATCGTGTGATGCAAGAAGCAGAGGATCAACTGCCAGAGCTGCCGCAGGGAGGAGGGGAGAGGGGGCCCGCAGGGGGAAGGCCAGTAAGGAGCAAGGTGGCGCAGGTCTGAGGGAGGGGGAAGCGGCGGAGGGGGGCTAATGAGGCGTGTGTGGGGGGGCCACCGGGGAGTTTAGAAGGATAGGGTTGGGGGGTTGAGGAAGAGGCGAGGTGATGGCTACGATGTGCGCATGCTGAGAGGAAGGGGGGTTCGGCGGAAAGTCTTGTGTAGTGGAGCAGGAGGGGAACTTAGATTGCCTTCGCCTGTGACGGATAAGGCGTGTGTGTGTGTCGCGTAGAGAGGGGCCCTCACCCTTTCTTTCGGCTCTCACCCTATTCCCCGAACACAACCACACCCACAACCCGCTATCCCTCGTCGATTCCGTTCCCACGCGCCCACGGACCGTATTGGCCTACACACACACACTCACGCTCTCACACGCACTTGGACCATCTGCCCTTTTACTTTCCGTCCACCTTTTACCGCCTCCTCCTCCTCCTCCTCCCCGCAGCGCCGTGACGACGCCGAGACCGCCATGCGGAAGCTCAACGGCATTACCCTGCACGGTAACGAGCTACACATTGGGTGGGGCAAGGCCATCCCGCTGCCCGCCATCCCCATCTACGACCCGCGGGAGGGTGCCGTGGTGTCCGCCATCCCCGCAGCTGCCACCCGGCCCGCGCACCTGCTGCCCGACCTGGTCATCCCCAAGAAGGCCTACAACGACGACATCAACTTGCACAGGGTGGGAGGGGGTCGGGGGGGATGGGGGGTTGGTAGTGGGTGGGGGGATGGAGGGGGGTTAGGTGGCGTGGGGACTGGGGAGGAGGGGAGACGCAGGGCCTGGAACTGGGTCGGGTTGGTTTGGTTAGCGTTGGGGTTGTGGATGTTGCTGAGTGGGCAGGGCGTTAGGGAACGGTGGGATGGGGTGGGGGGCCTGAGAGGAGACTGACTTAAACTGGGTGAGGGACTCGCACACGGACACAGTGGAAGCGGGGTGGGGATTAAGGGAGCCCCCAAGATGGAGATGGGAAAAAGGAAGTTCGGCAAAAAGGAAAGTGGGCGGAGGAAGGGTGCAGGAAAGGATCTGGGCTGGGGTGTCTTCGTAAAGACGGGGAGAGGCAATGGCGACAGCCTGAGGTCGTAGGATGCGCTCCGGGGATTCGCTCGCCTTAGCCTTCCCTTTTCTTCCATTGCGGCACACTTCCCCGTCCTTGCCTCCCGTACCTCCGCTCTGCCCTGCACCGGACGGGGCTGCCCCTAAGCCCCCCTCCCTTTTTTGCATGTAATTTCCCCCAACCACAGGGCACCGGTTCCGACATAGAGATCAAGGTGCCCGAAGATGCCCGTCTGCGGTTCATTATCGACACGCTGGCGTTGTACGTCCTGCAGGTGGGGTGGTTAGGAGGCCGAATGTGTGTTAGAGGAAAACACATCAGCGAGTGGGGGGATGGAGAGGGAGGCATGTGGGGAGGGAAAGAAAATAATGTTGGAGAGGAGGACAGCAATGAACACGGAAATATTATGGATATGGAGGAGGGGGTTCTTATCTACGTCGAATCCCAAAGTAAAACCCTAAGTCGCAAAAACCCTAAGTCCCAGAGCACTTCGCACCCCCATCCTGTTCCTTCCGCGTCTTCTCACCACTGCGTTGCTCGTGTATTCCTCTGCGTCTGTGCAGTGCAATACACATGTAGTACAATGTAGTACAGTGCAGCACAGCGATTCCCTCCATTGTTTAAATGCGTTTTATAACCGATTTGACGTGATTCCGCATCCTCCCCGCGCGTGCGCTCTCCCACCACCCAGGACGGCTGCGCGCTGGAGCAGGCGGTGATGGAGGCAGAGCAGAAGAACTTTGACTTTGCGTTCTTATTCGACCTCAAGTCCTCTGAACATATGTATTATCGGTGCGTCTCATAGGCCTGCGGAGAGGAGGAGGGGGGGGGCCGCCCAGAGGGGGCCCGAAGGAAAAAGCTAAGAGCCTGACCCGAACCCAAACCCGAGACCTGAAGCACATCGCAGCAAGTTGGATGGCCCCGCGGTGTGGGGGGGCCCGCGGGGGGCCGGAAGGCTTTACGCGGACGGCGTTGTTCCGCCTTCCATCTTTCTTCCGCATCCGTACGTGCGCCGGCCCCCGAAATGCCCATCAGTCTACCCTTTGCGTCAGCTTCTCTCGTTCGTGGTTCATCTTCCCCCGAAATGCCCACGCCGTCACCCGTGCGCCGCTCTCTTTTTTTATGCATCTTCACTGACCCAGTTGACTTCTTGCACCTAGCAGCAACTTATCCTTTTGGCGGGCCGCAACTTCTAACAGATTGTTTTACAGAGTCACCCATCTCCACCAAAGCACCTTTCAATCTACAGTCCACAAGACACCCCGGGCCTTCTACCTCACGCTTCCCCCACCCTCTCCGCTGTTGTTTTTTCCCTTGTAATGTAACCATCATATTCATCACCACCGCATCACCCGGGCAGCTGGCGCCTGCACTCGCTATCAGAGGGCGACACGCTGCGCACCTGGCGTATCGAGCCCTACGTGATGGTGCACGGCGGGCAGCGCTGGGTGCCGCCCCCCATGACCACCCTGGCCGAGCCGGTGGTGGTGGACGACCGCACGGCGGCGCAGAAAGGCGGACCCGATGGGGGCGCCGACGGCCGGCCACGCGAACGAGAGCGGCAGCTCACCGACAGCGAGCGGGACCGGTTCGAGGACATGTTGCGATTCCTCACGGTGCGGGAGGGCTGAGGGGCGGGGGGGCGGGAGGGGGAGGCAAAGAGATGCAGCAGGGAACAAAGCGAGGGATCGATCGCCGACTTCCAAACCACCAACTGCCGGTGTTCAAAGTCTTTATGACGTAATGGCCCAAGGCGAGGGACGGGAGGGGACGGACGGGGCGGGGGTTTTGGAAAGGGATGACGTGGGGTGTACGTATGTACGTACAAATCCCCACATGCTCCTGCATGAAGCACGTTTTGTTACGTGTGTCGTGTATAAGCATGGGAGTCGTGGGCTGAGGGGAGCTGGGTATGAGTTTTCCGTAAGGCGGGGTACCCGCGGGAGTGAGAAAGAGCGAGGCAGAGAGTCTCCGCATGGAAGGTGAGTGAAGGAGGGGAGAAGGTAATGGCGGCAGCCCAGTTTGCTCTTCTCCAATCACAGGAGGTGTCTCCCGGGGAGCCGGTTTCCTCTCCATCCCTCCGCGGTGTCGCCTCTTACCGCCGCGCTTACCCCGTCTCGCTTACTCGCTGACCCTACCCCACATCCTTGGCTCCAATCCGCGCTCGCCCCCCTACATCCCCACCCCACCCCAAACCTCCCCCCAAAACCCCAAACCCTCGACCCCGTTTTTCTTTTCCTCCTCCTCCTTCCCTTTTGCCCCGCCCTCGCACGCAGGTGGAGCGTTCGGATATTTGCGAAGCCATGATGTTCTGTCTGGCCTCTGCGGATGCGTGTGGTGAGCTGGTGGACATCCTGGCGGAGTCCCTCAGCCTGGCGGAGACTGCGGTGCCGCTTAAGATTGCCAGGCTCTTCCTGCTGTCGGACCTGTTGCACAACGCCACGGCGCCTGTGCGGAACGCATCCAGGTACAGAGCCAAGTTGCAGGTGCGTTTCCTAGCCTGCTGTATCGAAAAGTGAAATAAGGGAAAAAGGGGGGAGCCAACTGGAATGAGGTAGCTGGAGAACTTCAGGTGGAAATGGATGAGGTGTGCTGTGGGTGGAGAGAGAATAATGATTTATACTAATGGTGGACCTCTCCGCGCTTGTGTGGACACTGTAATAGACGGTGGTTACCAGTGCGATGGGAAGTTGGAAAAGGGGGGTTTCGCAGGGTTTGCAGGGAAGGGGGGACGCCCGGAATCGGCCCATATGGATTGGAAGCTGGGTGGCCTGCGGTGCCGTTCACAACGAGCCCCACCTCGCCGCGTGGTGGCGGCGGGTTTTGCGAGAGGCGGCTCCTGCGGCCCCTCGCGGCGTATGCTTCCCAACTCCGCAGCCGGCACTTGATCCGGTACTTGATCTTGTTTTGCATTCAAGTTATGTGTTTACCACCTCCGGGAGAAGACCCCTGATGTGGGTCGGGCTGCGTCACACACGCTTGTGCCTGCCGATGGATGGTTGCCCGGCACCCCCGGCCCACCGCCGCAGCCGACCCCCTTTCGTCAGTGGCTCGTCTTATCCCTTGTTTCCCCCACAGGCGGTCCTGCCGGACATCTTTGAAAGCCTCAATGAAACATATCGGTAAGAAGAGCTCTCAGGTATTGGGGTTTTGGGGATGGGAGGAAAGGGAAAGGCGAGTGTTGGCGTAGCAGTCTCCAATACCTCGCTCTTCGCTCTACACATTTCTTTTCCTGGCCGGGCGTTTAGTTCCCTGACCCATACACCCTTTCCCGTCTCGGAATTCAGTCGATGTCTTGGCACCCTAAACCCAATCCCTCTGAAGCAACGCAACCCACTCAACTCACGCACGAACGCTCGCACCCAGCCACCGCGCATGCGGCCCTCCCCGATCTCCCCCTTGGTGCGCACCTCTCCTTTCCATAACCCTAAGCCCCGCCCACCCTTATCCTCCCCAGGAACGCGGAGGGCCGCATGCTACAGGAGGCCCTTCGCCGCCACGTGCTGCGTGTGCTGCGGTGCTGGCGTGAGCGTTACATCTTCACCGATGACTACTTGAACGGCCTGCAGGCCACGTTTTTGCAGACCGCCACCAGCGCCGCCGCCGCGCTGGCGGACAACCCCACAATGCGTGCTGAGCTGGAGGCCACTGCGGATGAGGAGCTGGACCGCAGGGCCAAGCTCAATGGGCTGTCAACTCGGGGGGGCAAGGAGGCCATGGTGAGAGAAGGCAGGCGGACCTGGGGTCAGGTTTTCGGGGTTAGGAAAGGAACACTGCCTCGAATCATGTTATAAGCCCGGTATCGTGGTGGAGATGAAGTCACATACAAAAATGCAATGTGTCCGCTGCCGAAGTCAAGCTGTAGAGGTGTTCAAAGGCGTTCCAAAGGGGGGAGAAGGGATGAGGAAATGATGGAGGACGTAAGGGGTGTTGGGACTCTGAGGACAAAGCACGACGAAGCAAAACGCGCTTGGGGATGGGGTGTAGGCGAAATGCGACTATGTCCAGCTAGTCTAGCTCCAACCCACTCGGCCAGCTTTTCACACAATGTCCCACACCAAGCCCTTCCGAGCACTGGGTAACCCTCAGCTGTGGCCCCAGGTAGACGTGCAGGTTATCTACTTACTCTCCATTCCCGTCGTCTGGGAAGAAGACCTCAATCCCAAACCTGCCGTGTACACCGGAACGCCCCTGTTTGCGGCACGCCCTCATTGATTGCTCTGCTCACCGATTCCCCTTTCGCCCTCCCTTTCACCTGTCCATTGTGCCCCCCTTTTCCCCGCCCCGCCCCGCCCCACCCCACCCCGCCGCGGCCCCCGGAGTCAGATCCACCGCTTCCTCATTCTGGACCACTACCTGCACGCCGACTCGCGGCCGCTGTTTGATCCCAGCCGCCAGGCCGCAGGCGCGGCGTCCGGCAGCGTCGCAGCATCCGGCGCTGGGGACCCTTTTGCCCCGCCGCTGCCACCCCCTCCGCAGCTGCAACAGGTGTGCATAGCGGGATAAGGGGTACGAAAGGCAGAATGCGGCTGCTGGCGCGTGCCGCTCCTCTCTTTCCTGCCTGTCTGTCTGTCAGTCTGTCTGTCAGGGGGGAGGAACTGGAGAGGACGGTAGCATATCATGCATACTGATAGCTGACAGCTTGTCGTCTGTCACCCGCCAGGTCTCGGTATCCATCAAGCAGGAGGATCTAGGCGCCGGCGCAGGCCCTGACCCTGGTTTCGGCGCTCCGTCCGCTGTACCCGCGCCTGCCATACCCCAGTCCCGTTGGACGACTGTGGACGAGGAGGAGGAGCGCCAAAACGCACCACAAGTATGTGCATGTATATGTATATGTGTTATTGGGGTCCCTTGCTTTGTGCTGCGGACCCGCTGGGACGCTGGGGAGGTTCCAGGGTGGCGGATCCTGCACTACATGGCTCGTGTTGGTGTGAGCTTTCCCCTTGTCTTTCCTTAACTTCCAACCCACAAGCACTACTTCTCAAATTGTCCTTGTGCGCAGATTCCTATCAGCAAGTGGCTGCTTCAGGAGCAGGAGGCGGATGCGCGGCTTGCAGCGCTACAGCAGCAGCTTAAAGAGCTGGATGGGGACGGCGGGGGACCAGGGGGAGGTCCCGGCAGCTTAGGCGGGTCCGGTGTTGGGCCCGGTGCTGGGGGGAAAGGCGCCGGCGGCGGCGACGACGACGATAAGATCTTCAGTGATGATGATGACGACGGCGGAGGAGGTGGAGGGGCAGGTGGAGGGCTTGGGGGCGTGGGGCCTGGCGGTGTGTCGGCGGGCGAGGATGCAGCTCGATTGGTGGCGTTAGGTAAGTTGGTAGGAGGGATGGGGTGGGGTAATTGGGGTTTGGGGTTGTGGGAGGTTTCTTGTGCCGAGTATGCTAGATCGCATCTTGCAAAAGGTAACACAGGGGGCCAAACATGGATGCACACTCGCATAAAGGCACGACCACATGGCCACCCGCACGTGTGCGTGTACACGCGCGATGCTTTCTCACGCGTTGGCTCTGCAATTAAATGCAAACAACGCAAACAGCGCTCTCTGGTGCCACGCACGTCAACGCATAAGCCTAATCCCTTCCTTCCACTTCCCACCCCACCTCCGCTACATGCACCTTGCTGAAGGGTCCTGAAGGTCTTTCCCCTCTTCTTCGCGTATGTACCCTTCCTTGCATAGCGTAACGAGAGCACCTCCCCAAAGTTTTCTTCGCCCCTGAAAAAGTCCGCTGCCTGTGCTGCCGAAATACTTGCAGCTGCGGCTCGCTCCGACCCCGCCGCTGACGCCGCGGCGGCAGCCGCGGAGGAGGAGCGCCGGCGGCGGCTCCGAGAGGTGGAGCTGGCGGTAGCACGGCTGGAGGCGGAGCTTGAGGAAGAGGTGTGTGCGTGAGGGGTTAGTAGAATGTACGTGTATGTGTGTGTTGTAGTATGCTGAGATGTAAGGAACTAACTAGCCACTAGCCAGGTTCCTCTCGGAAGTCTGGGAGACCCGGCACGTTGCTCTAAGGCGCTTCGTGCTCAAGCGGACGAGGGAGGACGATGGTGGTCCACCACGTAACCGTACTAAAAACGATTTACCGTCCATGGCCCCCCCCCACGGCTTTTACGGACACCCCCGCACTTGTGCGGAACTTGTAACTTGTAACTAACAGACCGCCGCACGGTTCATGCGGCTCCGGCCACATCTAGACGTGTAAGGGAACCAACAATTGGAGTCCAGTGCAAAGCCCGAGATCGCGTGTGGTACTATACATATTGAGCTTCGGTTGTGTGGCCCTCCACCCTGTACATCCTGCGCCTCCGCTTCAGGGCCTGAGCAAGGAAGAGATGGCCTCCCGTCTAGCAGCGAAGCGGGCAGAGCTTGTGGGCGAGCTGGACAAGGAGCAGGTAGGGTCTGGGCCTTCGATCACTGGAGGTATTTTAGCCCTGAATGGTGGGTGGGTGCGGACGCAGCAGATGCAACTCGAACAGGTCCCGCCGATGTCAGAGAGGAGGAATAGCTTGGGCAACGCCGGGGATGCTGGCGGGGTGTTCGGGATGGCAGCGGAGGCGCAACTCACACCTGCTGAAGGGCTGATAGCTGCGCAAGCCCTGCACGTGTGCGTGCGCATGCGGCACTATACTGAGAGGCAAGCTGGCGGAGGTGCTGTCATGACGCGGTTCATCATGGCGTCGTGGTTGCGGCCGTTTCGACATAGTCGGGACGGAGCAGGGTGGCTTTATTAGGATAGCAAGACCGTTGGGATTAGGTGGGTCAGGTTGATCTTGCTGCGCTAGTTAACGGGGTTTGGGCAGCTGCTGTTGCCGCTGCTTGCTGCTTGCTGCTTGCTGCTTGCTGCCGAATGTACGCGCGTTCCTAAGCATCCCTTCTTGCGGGTTGTGCTGCTTCACACGTAATTCGTGCCGTAGGCGGCAAAGACTGCGGTCTTGGACAAGTGGCGCAGCCGCCGGGGTTCAGCCGCCGCTGCGGACGTGGGTCCGGCGTCCAGCTCTCATGGCCAGTCCGAGCCGGGCAGCAGCGGCCGGGACCGTGAAAGGGAGCGAGACCGGGATCGTAGCGACCGAAGCGACCGAAGAGACCGGGACCGAGAGAAGAAGGACCGGGAAAAGGACAAGGAGCGAGAGAAGGAGCGGCGGCGCAGCAGTCACAGCCGCAGCCGCAGTCGCGGTCGTTCAGAACGGGAGGAGAAGAGGGAGCGGGAGAAGGAGAGGCGGAGGAGCCGCAGTCGTAGCCGCAGCCGGGACCGATCAGAGCGGGAAAAAGAGCGGGAGCGGCGAAGGAGTCGCAGCCGAAGTCGTGACCGGGAGCGGGAACGGGAGCGGAGCAGCAAGCGCAGCCGTAGCCGAAGTCGGGGACGGGAGAAGGACAAGAAGAGTCGACGGTAGTGGAGGAATGTGGGGATGAAGTTGGTGTGTAGAACTGGTGTGAATGGTGCAGTGGGCGATGACGTGGGTGATAGGCGGCGCATTTTGCGGTGGTGAGGTTTTGCAGGAAGCTCTGGCCCTGGACTTGGGGCGTTGCACGATTGGGTTATAGCTGATATGACCTATGAGCTGTGGGGGGAAGGGCAGCAGCGCGGCTTACAACGGAGGTCATGCGGGTTGCATATCTAAGATCCCTTTCTGCACCTAACACCTTCCTGTCGGTGCGGACCAGCCGTGGCTTCGTGAGAATTCGGCTCGCCGGTTGTTCCACCTATACCTGTAACTGGCATGATTCTTACGTCATGTCTCGTTCTGAAGCTTCTTCTGATCTGGGTACAAGTTAGCACCAAGCACGAAGAAGCACGAACCACGGAGGGCACGTGTCCGTTAATCCAGTTAGTCTTGTCACTACTGTAACAGTTTTCAGAGTTATACTGTTTTACTTGTACACAGCATAACGTTACTTTATCTTCGTCTTATGATATAAGGCATGATGTTCACAGACGGAATGCCAACGAAAACAAAACCCTTTTTTACTTTCAGCAAGGGCGAGATATACAACACCTAGGTAGTTTGATTTTAGCTATGGGAAAATGCGGACGTATCAAAGGACTGCTTTGGCCTGTCCAAGACGGTTCAAACTATGTCTTGAGCAGGGCTACTAAGGTGTATTCCGTATTCACTAGATGTTCGTGTGCTGACTACGTCTTTTGAATGATGCGGTAATAGGCCCATTGGTCTCCGGTGGTAGCTGCGCAGCTACGCTGGAACAATGTCGCTGCAGCTTGCTCGCACAGCGCACGGGCGATCGCAGATCCAAATTGACGAGCAAATCGATGCGTACCTGCGTCTACGAAACGATGAGGACAGTGCCGTGGAAGCAGTTCCTGTTGGAGGCGAGGAGAGGTCGCTCCAGAAATACTCAATAAAGCTAGAGGATATGGTGCCCATGACGTCGATTCGTCCACCGGACGGTCTGAGGGGTCTACTCCGTCCGTCTAGGACAGCATCACAGCTGGCGAGACCGGCGTCTCAAAGCCAATTGAGCTTGACACAGCAAAGCAACAACTTTTCAGGCAGCTCTGACCAAAAGACAAGTGAGTTGTGACCACCCTTATGGAAATACAGAACGGTTCCTGTCCACAGTCGTCACTTTGAAGAGCTCCTGATGACGAGCGGCGCAGGCCCCCTTGAGACGGCCCGCTTTCTAGGTCCGCAAGCTGCTGGCTGCGTTTGCGAATATGCCCTTCCACGGGCTTTTGTGCCCTTCAGCTGAATCGGCACGCGGATGCTCGTGTACGTACCGGGGCTCCCCTCCCCCTTTTCCCACACCAACTGAACACGTCAACTCCACCCCATCGCAACCTCACTCAATGCACATGAACAGGCCGGCCCCCTTCCACCTCCACCACATTCATACATGTTAATATCCCAGTTTCATTGCCTCTTTCCTCCTTCCTTCCCTTGACCAGTGCACGGCATTTACGGCCTGCTGGCCCGTCACATAGAGGTCCCGCCAAAGGTGTGGGCGGAACTGCCGTACAAGGATTTGATTTCATGTTTCATAAAGGAGCAGGAGGAGGCGACCCTGGAGCTGTCTCCCACCACCACCGGCGGCGATAGTAACGCGGGCGCGGCACTGGATGGTGCGGCTTCCGAGCCGGGACCCAGGTACGGCGGACTGCGGGGTTGGTGGCGGTCTGCGGGTATGTGGCCGATTTGGGTTGGCGGGATGGATGCCAGTTCGTCGGCTAGCCAGCCTGTCAGTCAGTCAGTCAGTCTGCCTGTTCATAGGCTTGGTGGATCTAGCTTGGGGTCAGAAAGGAGGTGGTAGGCAGGCAGGTGGTAGGTCCTCAGCTGCACGGGCTGGGGAGCCAAACGAGCCGTCGTTCCCAGAACCCACATCCCGACCCAAGTCAAGGAAAGACTACTTCGACGTTCACTTCCAGCCACCCGCTCTCTCTAACAACCATCATTTCCAACACCACAACCAAACGCAATGGATCCACAACCCAACCCACAGCCAAGCGTACCCAACCCATCATCGTACCCTTTTTCCCCTCTTTTCCGTTTTTCCTGGCCCTAGGTGTTCCATTTTCGGCCTGCCGATGCTGCACCCCTATTCCCGCCTGGCGGTGGCCTGGCGCTGCGCCATGCTGTTGTTTGACCTGTCCTTCACCGCATTCTGGGTTCCGCTGAACGTGGGGTTCTGTTTCGAGGCGTACGGAGATTTGAATCGGCCCTGTACGAGGTCCGATTTTGCGGGAGGTGCGGTTGGGCGTCTGGATTGAAGGGGAAGGGTGAAGGGAAGAAGGATTGGGAGGTATCGGGCCGCAGGCGGATGCAGTAGGGCAGGAGGTCGGGATGTAGGCTGGTAAAGGGGCATGGACGGTGTGGTGTGGTGTGCATGTGCGCTCGCTCTAAGGGGGGAGGTCCGTGTGCAAGGCGGCATGAGAATGCATGAGAAAGGTCCCGACCCGCGGAAAAGGTGGGAAGAAGGGAACTGGTTTTACAATCCTCCTTCGTTATGTTTGTTGAGAGGCATCATCAACCCAGAAGATTCCACAGCTGTGGCCCCTGTCCCGGTCCTAAACCCTGCAATTGGTTTCAGTTGTTGGTTCTCCTTGGGTGATCTTGGGGCTCCACATTCCCAACCCCCCATTCTCCCACATCCATCAAGTAGTCTCACATCTGCAGGGGACATTCCAAGGCCGATCTCATATCTGCATGCTCCAATCCGCATCCGGCTCTCTTCCGACACCCTTCCGACACCCCCATTTCCCCTCGAATGCCTTGTCATCTCCTCTTGCGATATCGCCTTGTTTCCCAGGTATTATTTACGTCATCAACTGGTTTGTGGGCTTCCATATGGGGGTTGTGGCCACTTGCGGCTCTAAAAGGAGAATGGTGCTAGATGGCATGTCCGTGGCCAGGTTGTACGCCTTGTACGGCAAGTTTGTGATGGATACGCTGGCTGTGGTGCCCTTCTTTGTGCTGGTGGGTGGGTGGGTGTCGGGAAGAAGAGGGGTTGGGCTTGGGTTTGGCTGCTGCGTGTGCGGGTTTTTCTGTTGACACTTTAGAAAGCAGCTAAGGTAAAGGAAAGGGTTTTGACATTGGGCACTTGATTTCCCGGGTCACCTTTCCCGACTGACCACTCTTGCTCTTACCCTTTCCGGACCCACGTCCGTCAGAGCTTTTACCGCGCTTCCTCTCCCTCTCCCTCTGCTCCTACCTCGCGTCTTGGCGGCTTGCACGTCCGCAACCGCTGCGATTTGCATTCCAGCTGCCACAAATTGTCTCCTCCATGACCAGTCTCCCCATGACCAGTCCTCGTCCTCGGCTTGTGTTACCTTCCCATAACAGCCCATGTTTGTGGGCAGAGATCCGCTGTCAGGGGGCCCCCATCCAGCGGTAACGTGCCGCCTTCCAGTTTATACACGCTCCCGTCCCTGACCGCTAAAGCCCTCAGCAGCCAGCAGCCCTAAACTGCATGACCCGTGAGATGAATGTGTGGATGTGGCCCCGGATGTGGGTACGCGGTGCAGATCTCCGCCATTACGGCCGCAGACGACGGCGCCGTGGGGTCCGGACGGCGCCTGTGGGGTCTGTTGTCGCTGATGCGGCTGATACGTCTGTTGCGGCTGTTCAACACCGTCAAGGTGAGTGGGTGGGTGGGTGGGTGGGTGGGTGGGTGAGTGGGTGGGTGGGTGGGTGGCGGGACCGGCGGCGTGGTGGAGATGCTATGAGCGCATGTTGTGTGCGCTTGCGTAGCTGCATGTGCTTGGTCCGTGCTTTTGCGTAGAGGAAGCGACGGTGTTGTGGCGTTAGATGGCCGGTCTGCCAGTCGGTGCCCACCTGCACAGTGGGAGCATGCGTGCTATATTGCTAACGACGCTGCCTGAGCCGTCATGGTCGTCATGGATCTTGTCCATCCAGCTCACTCGCTACATCTTAACTTAAGGAGAGTCTAAGAAAAAACTACTTGCAATTCTATGTCTGTGTGTGTTGTCGCGGTTGCTTGCTCTGCCGGTCGGCCGGCCTGTCTACACACCGTCCTGGCCTTGTCGCCGGTGCTCTAGGCCACCACACCACGGGTCCCTCCTAACTCCCTGCCCCGGGCCCGGGCCCTTTTGAGTTTGCTACTTCGTGTGGACGTCGGGAGGCATTTGACGCCTTGTTTTTNTGCCTCGCTTTCACCCC